GGGATGATAGCATGGCTTTTCTCTTTGAATTTAACAATGTTGTGGGTACTTTAATCATTGTCCAGTATTGAGCCAGTAAATCTATGTTGGTCCTGATGGATGAATATTTTCTCTCCTTAGAAAATCCTTAGCAAATGTTTGTGAGCTGAATCTGGCATCTGTGCTAATAAGTTAGATTGGCCAATACATTTATTCTATTTTTGTGTGTTTGTTTGTTTGTGTGAGACAGGGTATAGTTAGGTAGTCCAGGCTGGCCTTGAACTCACAATCTTCCTTCCTTAGCCTCCTGAGTACTGGGGTTACAGGTGTGCATCATCATCCCTGGCTTCAATTTCCTCTTTTGTATTGTCCTTGTGATTGTAGTATCAGGGTTACACTACACTCATTTAATTAATTAAAGAGTATTTTAATCAGCTTAGTGGCTATAACAAAATACCATAGACTTGGGGTGGCATGAGCATCAGAAATTTAATTCTCAAAAAGGCTGAGAAGTCCAAGACCAAGGTGCTGATCAGTGAGGTTCCCAGTGATGGTTCTCCTAGGCTTACAGATGGCTGCCTTCTCACTGTGTGCTCACTGGCTCCATACTATCACCTGGGGACTTAGGGGGTCCACGTTTGTGCACTGGGGGACCAAGCACTCAGTCTACAGTGGAGGGTACTATGAAGTGCATCCTCTTTTTCTGTACTATTGCAGAAGTCTGTGACTATTGTAAATGTTCCCCAAATACCTGGAAGATCCTCTCACCTGTCACACTTCTGAGTGGTGTTTTCTTAGTGGGAAAATTCTAAATTACCAATTTAATTTGATATAAGATTGTTCATGTTTTCTATCCCTTCTTTAGTCTGTTTTGATAAATGATTTTTTCTAGGAATTTACAAATCCCATCAAAAATTTCTAAAGCATTAATATACAGTTTTAAATACCATTCTTTGTCTCTGCTGAATCCTTAATGTGTTTTTTTATTCTTAATAATGTTTATTTTTGACATTTCTCTTGATTAATCATGAGATTTGTCAATATCAATAGCTACTTTTTAAACATTTGAATTTGACTATACTTTCTCTACTGTATTTTAATTTATTTCTTTTTTTTTTTTTTTTGGTACTGGGGATCGAACTCGGGTCCTTGTGCTTGCGCAGCAGGC